TGTTCAGAAACTCCATAACTGTATTCAAAATTAGTTTTTCCAATGAATTAATGAAGCCTCCCACCCATGACTCATCACATTGTCTACAGTGGTGGTGGGCTTCTTTTTTGTTCTAATTGTACATATTATCTCATAGGAGATAAAAAATGGACCACAAAGAAGGAGAAATAAATTACCTAAGTAAATCTAGAACCTAAAAGTAGTGCACATTCTACAATAGAATGCAGCAGATGGCTTTCCAATAATAACTAGCTCTCTCTCTTCTCACCTTTTCCTAGTAGGAAATGGGGAGCAATCTTTAAATGTTCTTCTCATCATTAAATAAAAGAAGAATCAAAGAGGGCAATTAATGCCTTCTTGAACTGGCTGTTTGACCTCGTAAGATTCAAATGAGATGGATAATAAAAGCACATTCTCCCCGGGGCTGGATTGATGGCTCAGTGGTTAAGAGCATTGGCTGCTATTGTAGAGGACCCAGGTTCCTTCTCAGCACCCATATCAAGCAACTCCCAAATGCCTATATCTCTAATTTCAGGGGTTGGATGCCATTCTCTGATCTCCACAGGTACCCTCTTGCACACACATGAAAATAAATAAATCTGTAAAAGCACTTTTAATGGGGAGAACTGGCAATTTAGAGGGCTGAGAAATGAGATGCAAAAACTGTTGTGATTTAAGAAAAGTGGCACATAAGAGAAAGACAGGGTCCAAGTGGACTGTTTTTTTGTTTTTTTTTTTTTTAATTAGGAAAAGAGATCATAAAAAGGGGAAAGGGATCATAAAAGGGGGAAAGGGAAGGGAGGAGACCTGCTTCCAGAGACAGGAGCAGCAGGAGAGAGGAGAAAGGAAAGCGTGGGAGAGAGAGGAAGAAAGAGAGGAGAATAGACAGAGAGGGGGGAATGGGAGGTGGGAACATAGTAAATACACACAGGTGGTGCTCTTAGTGGCTACAGGTGAGGGCACATCCTGTCAGAACCCCAAGGACAGGCCTGTACAGATACCTGAATACTAACAGAAACAGTCAATAAATCTTAACATTTTGTTCTTAATATGAAAGTATATTTCAAATGTCCATTTCTAAAGCACTGTGACATTTGTGACCAAAGTGTCTGCCTTTGATGTAGCATATGTTTTTTAATCTGTTATTTCATTGGTTGTTGGTTGACTTTCAGCAGCCTTAAATAATGGATACCTGTTATCCCACAGTTTCTACAGCTTAGCTGGGTGCCTCTGGCTCAGAGTTTCTCAAAAGTCTGCCATACTTGACTGCTAGGGCTGCCCAAGCAAAAAGCTAATTTTAAAGTAGAAAACATCAGCCAGGAGATTAACTGGTGTATTTAAAAAAAAAAAACCCACAATAGCGAGAAGAAAAGTGAATGATATTCATGAATGTAATATTATAACCTTCATAAAACTAAAAAGAGTATTATGATTTTTTTTTTTATAAATCTTCAGTACATGGTTGATTCTGGACAAGCAATAACCACAGGAAGAGCAGAGGAATAGAGCTCCCAGTGGTATGCAAATCAACTCACCTTGGCTTTAGGATGTACTCATGAGTTACCCCCTCCTCTCTAACACTACAACCTCCCTCCAGTCAATAACCTCTGGGACCCTCATAGGTTAAAGAAAAATAATTAATGCCAGGTGATGGTGACACATTCCTTTAATCCCGGCACTTGAGAGGCAGAAGCTACATAAAGAAACCCTATCTCAAAGGAAAAGGAGGAGGAGGAGAAAGAGAGAGGGGGGGAGGGAGGGAGAAAGGGAGGAAAGGGAGGAAGGAAGGGAGAAAGGAAGAAAAGAATTAACCTATCTAACTCATTCTTCCACTCCTCATGCTGGCATAAGGCATAGCTTTGGCCTCTTAGGTTTTATGCCATTCTCTTTCCTGGACCTTTGACCTCATCCCAAGCTCCCTTCCACCTTTAGCCTTTCCTCTAGTCCCTCCCCCCCCACCTCCCTTGCTACCCCTGCATCCCCCTTCTCCCTTTCTCATTTCCCTTTCTTTTGGGCTTTAACCATCCCTGTTATTTTATCTTTTCCTCAGACTGTGTTCAGACTGAATCAGGTTTACGAAAGCTTCTTGAAAACTATACTTTCCCTTCAGGGCATGTAACATAGTTGATAATTATGTATTCTTTTGTACTAACTATTTAAGAGTTGTCTTTCCAACTAGTTTATACTCCTTAAAGAGAAGAGGCGTGTCTGTCTAAGCCACAAAGACTTCACCTTCATCCAGCACCACTTGGCACTAGGTACCCAGTAAATAGGCTCCAGGCTCCTCCACCAGTTGCCTGGCTCTATCTCAAACTCTGAGTAATTACAGGGAAGCAACTGTGGAGAGTTTTGAATACAATTTTTTAAATTAACTTGTCTAGCAGGACTGTCAGACCTCAAGTACTGGTAATCATCACTTTTATTGTTTCTGTTCATGGGAAATCTTGGTTTCTGGGGCAATGTTGCTCATTAAAATTATCACTGTGCTGTGGTTTGAAGGCTTCCATCCCTTCTAAACTCCATGTCAAACCTAATCTCCAGAGTAGCCATACGAAAAGGCTCAGTTTGGGACCAATGAATGGATTAAAGTGCTTGCCATACAAGCCTGATGAACTCAAGTTGATCCCTGAAACCCACTTGTAAAGTCAGATGTGATCATAGACATCTGTAATCTCAACACTTCTATGGCGATATGGAGGATGGAGACAGGAGACTCCTGAAAGTTCACAGGCCAGCTAGCTCCACAGAAATAACAGAGGTTGCCTTGAAAACAAGGTGAACTCATCAAGGAGGTTCTGTTAGACCCCCGAAAACTCAAGTATTCGGGGTCCCAGGCCACGTTCGCGGTCACCCCAATCACCAGGCGGATTCGAGAGCTTGCTGCAAACTGCACGAGGCTTTATTGTAATTTAACGAGCTAACCCCATGTTAACTCGGGTCTTTC